AAAAAATAATAATAATAATTAAATAAAAAAATCAATGTGCACTTATCGATGCTAGATTGTTTTTTTTTTTCCTCCAAGCCGGATGAATTTTAAATTAATTGTCAAATCAAGGAGAGAGGAGGATTTTGTGAGCACGCCGGCACGGTTTAAACTGGTTTTTGTGCTGTTAGAGGGTGAGATGAAAGGATTGTGTCAGGGAATTGCTCTACGATGTCGGATAACCCCCCCCCCAAAAAAAAATTTAGGATCCTGGGGTCCCAGCCACCCCTCCTGACTCCCCACCGGCGCTCCATCTGCCCCCCCCACCCCCCAGCAGAGGGGATGCTGCAACCCTGGAGGAGATTTAAAGCTTTATCCCAGGATGGAGGGGGAAAATAATAAAAAAGGACTCCAAAAATCCACTTTTTCCCCAGCCAGGGTGAGGATGCCGGGGATGTGCAGCCCCTGCGAGGCGGCGGGGCCGGCATTGCTGACCGTGGGGCCCTCTTTCCCCCGGCTCGCTGGCGGTTTTCCGGAGGATACGGGATGCCGGCTACATCCCGGGGATGCTGGGGATGCTCCCAAAAATCCTGGATGCTGGGGTTATGGGGGGTGTGTGTGACACCGAGGGATAAAAACCTGCAAATTTTAGGCATGTTCCAACCCAACAAGGGAGTGGATGGAGGGTGTTCGAGGTGGGGGGAGAAGGTCTTTGGAGATGGTTTAAAGGGATGGGGATGAGTGATGGGGAAAAGATGGAGATTTTTCAAGCTGTGGGGCAGGATTGCACCTATTGCACCCCATTACACCCCAGTACACCCATTACACCCAGCCCACAAACCAGTTGTGCCAAGGCATAAGCATTTCTACAGCCGGGAGGGTCTGGCTGCTTTAAAAAAAATGGGGAGAAAACACCTTTTCAGGCTGGGGGAAGAAGAAGATGGGGGGTTTTAAGGTGCTCCCCCATCAACCCTGGTTTTCCCAGGACAAAACCCAGCCAAAAGGCTCCAAACACCCCAGTACACCCAGCCCACAAACCAGTTGTGCCAAGGCATAAGCATTTCTGCAGCCGGGAGGGTCTGGCTGCTCTAAAAAAATTGGGGAGAAAACACCTTTTCAGGCTGGGGGAAGAAGAAGACGGGGGGTTTTAAGGTGCTCCCCCATCAAGCCTGGTTTTCCCAGGACAAAGGCATAAGCATTTCTACAGCCGGGAGGGTCTGGCTGCTTTAAAAAAAATGGGGAGAAAACACCTTTTCAGGCTGGGGGAAGAAGAAGATGGGGGGTTTTAAGGTGCTCCCCCATCAACCCTGGTTTTCCCAGGACAAAACCCAGCCAAAAGGCTCCAAACACCCCAGTACACCCAGTACACCCCAGTACACCCAGCCCACAAACCAGTTGTGCCAAGGCATAAGCATTTCTACAGCTCGAGGGTCTGGCTGCTCTAAAAAAAAAATGGGGAGAAAACACCTTTTCAGGCTGGGGGAAGAAGAAGAGGTTTTTTTTTTTAAGGTGCTCCCATCAAGCCTGGTTTTCCCAGGACAAAAACCATCCAAAAGGCTCCAAAAACATCCAATAGTTGCTCTCGCCGAGCTTTTTCCTGCCCCCAACTCCAGCATCACCCCCCCCGCCCCCAAACCCTGTTAATCTCTAGCTCAGGGCAGGAGCTGCCTGTTAATAATTAAATGGACTTTGCAAAAAAACGTCTCCCCCCCCGGGGGCAGGGAACACCCTGCAAAATCCAGCCAAAAAAAACACCCCAGGGGATGGGGGGGGGAAGAGATCCCACACCCCCAGGTGCCTTTTGTTGTTAAAATTGCCAAGCCCAGGCAAAAATCTCCGGGAGTTGTGTGTGTGTGTGTTTGGGGTTGGTTTTTTTTTTCTTTTCTTAGGTTTTTTTTTCTTTTTCTTTTTTTTTTTTAAGCTCAGGAAGCCTGGTTTAATAACTCCAGCCTTGGCTGGGGTTTCAGGAAACCTCTTACCTCTGCTTGTGCCTCATTTCCTGATCTAATCCCCAGCTCCCGGAGGGCAGAGAGGCGCCGCTGGCGCTCGGAGGGGGTTTAGACTTTTCCATACAGCCGAGTTCCAGCCTCCCCCACGGGCAAGAACCAACCTTTCCTCCATGAGACGGCCAAAAAAAAACCCACCCCCAAATCCCCCCATCCCTGGAGGTCTCCGGGATCGCTCCCCGGGATCGGCTCTTCCCCTCTCGGGATGCGGCGTCTCCATCCACCGGCTTTTCCTCCGTCGAAGGAGCGAGGTTTTGGAGTCTTGGCGAGGACACCTGGCTTGTGGGTGGGTTTTTTTTTTTCCCCAGCAACTATTTTTTCTTATTTTCTAGGAAATTCCAACTGGAAACGAGGTCTGGGGGGTTATTTACCCGGTTTGTGCTGCTGAAATCCCAGCGGTGCCACCCTTGGCTTCGATGATGCTTTTGGGCATTGAGAGCATCTTCCAAGCCCAGATGGAGAAGGAGGTGACCCTAAAACCTCTTTCCACTCCCGACGCCACCCTGCCCCGAGCAGCCCCAGCTCCAAACCAGGCAGGACGAGCGAAGGCTCAAGAAAATAGTGTTAATTTATTAGACAAGGCTCACGACAGCACCGTACGGGAACCCAAGGCCGTACGTCATTCACTTACACCTCGATGCGCTGGAGTGGAGTTAAAAAATAAAGAGATTTGGGTGGGGGAGTTTTGTTGGTCTTTTTTTGTGTGTTTTGTTTTGTTTTGTTTTGTTTTTCAATGCTACAAGGTCCCGTCCAGAAGCAGAGATGCTCTGAGGGAGCATCACAAGTGGAAAAGATGCCCGTGGCTGATCCCCCAGGGGGATTTTGGGGACTGAGGAGCATCCTTGGGGACGGGGTGGTTTGTAAACAGTCCCTACACATCTAGGGTGGGTGCAGGGGGGGTGGTTTTTTTCACAGTGAGCAGAAACACGAGGCTTAGGGGGGTGAAGGGGGGGTTTGCCCTCACCCTGAGATGATCAGGGACCCTCTTCTTGGTGGTTTGGACCAGCCAAGGAGAGGAAACAGTACTGGTGCCCAGTGTGGGGAAGAGGGATCCGAAGCCAGCACGGGAGAGGTCCTGGAGGAAGGGCTGGACCATTTCTCCTCTTCTTCTGGACCTTCTCTCCCCCAGTTTGCTTCTCCAGCATCCCCTCCTCTGGGCTGTGGGGCTGGCACGGGTGGATTCACAGCTGAGATGCCGTGGGTCTCCCCACGGGGAGGACGAGCCCTGCTGCCCGTGGCATCCCTCCATTTAACCAGGATAAATAAATAAAGGACAGTATTTAAGGGCTGGCAGGCTGGGGGGTGGGGGAGAAGCCCGGCGTGTGCTATCTCACGGCGATGGACATCTTGGGCGTAGCGAAGAGTGGTTCGTTAAGGGGCGGCCAGGATGGCTGCTGTTGGCTCAGCTCCTTCTCCAGCCTCTTGAAAAGCTTCTTGGAGGCTTTCTTTCGGCGCAGCCTGCGGAGGCAGCTGAGCAAGCCATGGTCCAGGGCGGTCTGCAGCAAAAAAAATGGGTTTTGGGGAGGCTGTGGACCTCGAGGAGAGGGCACATCTGATGCCAAGGTGGGCCTTGCTCTCTCCGTGCCCACAGCTCCTGGAAAAAGGGTTGCTTGGAGAGCCCCAAAAGGATGAGACGTGTCCCCTGTGTGCCCAGTGCCCACCCTGGGTTGACCTACCTCCAGCACAAAGGCAGCAAAGAAGTTGAGGGCAGCGATCCCCAGCAGCAGCAGCTTGAAACTCAAGTCGTCGATGCCCTGCAGCTTCAGCAAGCTCTTGGGGAAGCCCACAGGGTAGAGGGTCAACCATATCATGAGGCCAAAAAGGAGGATGAGGACTACCAAGAAGAGCACTGAGGGGGAGAAGGAAGAGGGTTGAGGAGGGGGGGATGAAGGTTTGAGGTCTCTCTTCGCCCCTGTGGCCAGCATCATCCTCACCGTTGGTGTAGAGCGGCTCCCGAAACGGGTACCCCTTGGACATGGCGACGGCCAGGATGAGGTACTGGAAGCCCGTGACACAGAAGAGGACTGTGTTCTCATAGTTGGGCAGGTTTTGGGGAGCTGTCACCGTGCTGTTCAGTGGCACGTACCTGAGCCAGGCAGGGGAGAAGAGAGGGGGTGAGAGGAAGCGAGAGGCAGAGAGAGGGTCCAAATTGTCAACCCCTTCTTCTCCACGAGCACATGGGAGCTGCAAGATGGCTGGTCACATCCTTGGCCAACACCAGGGCGTCCTAGCCATCTTCTGGGCTGTTCCCAAGGATGGCTGGTCACATCCTTGGCCAACACCAGGGCGTCCTAGCCATCTTCTGGGCTGTTCCCAAGGATGGCTGGTCACATCCTTGGCCAACACCAAGGGCTTCCTTGCCATCCTCTGGGCCGTTCCCATCACTAAACCCACGTGAAGACGGGTTCCTCACCAGCTCTGCGAGACGGTGATGAAGTAGCTGAGGACCTGCACAGTGATGAGCAGAGCTGTCTGGAGGAGCAGGCTGCCCAGCACCAGGACGCTGATCAAGGCCCCCTGGGGACGTTCCACTCCCAGCTCCTGGGCAGGACCGGTGCGACCCATCAGCACGGCCACGGTGGTGGTGATGATCAGGTCGAAGAAGAGGAACTGGAAATCGCTCAGGTTGGTGTTGATCTGGGAAGGAGAAACCACCCAGCTCTCAGTTGGGGGGGCGGGTGGTTTAGGAAAAGGACAGGCTAAAACCCAGCGGTGCCAAGGTGACCTGAAGGCATCTGGGCAACCCTTGACTCACCGTGTAGAGCAGGAGGACGGACACAAACTGCACCAGGCTGTACAGGGCCATGTACTTAAAGACGCCAAAGGAGGTGACCAGGGAGCACCTGCCCTCCCTGCATGGACAGAGAGATGTTCAACCACCAGCCCAACACCCTTGTCCCCCAAGAGGGGACAGAGACACCCAGGAGACACCTTCCCCTTGGCTTTTATCCCCCACCCCGAGGCTCCGGGCAGCTCACCGGATGACGGTGGGCACGCACTCGATGTTGGCCACGCGGGAGGTGAAGGGAGAGGCCACCGACGCCTCCGCCTCCGACAGCGAGATGCCCACGTCGGCCGCCTTCAGAGCCCCACAGTCGTTGGCCCCGTCCCCACACATCCCCACGCAGTAGCTGTGGTGAGAATCACACAATGGTTCGGGTTGGAAAGGACCTTAAAGTCCACCCAGTGCCACCCCCTGCCCTGGGCAGGGACACCTCCCACCACACCAGGTCCCTCCAAGCCCCCTCCAACCTGCCCTTGAACCCCTCCAGGGATGGGGCAGCCACAGCTTCTCTGGGCAACCTGGGCCAGGCTCTCACCACCCTCACACCAAACAAGTTCTTCCCCACATCTCAGCTCCATCTCCCCTCTTTCAGTGTCAAACCCTTCCCCCTCCTCCTAGGGCTCCCCTCCCTGATCCAGAGTCCCTCCCCAGCTTTCCTTGAGCCCCTTGAGGGACTGGAAGGGGCTGGAAGGTCTCCCCGGAGCCTTCTCTTCTCCAGGCTGAACCCCCCCAACTCTCTCAGCCCCCCCTCCCAGCAGAGGGGCTCCAGCCCTCCCAGCATCTCCGTGGCTTCCTCTGGACCCTCCCCAACAGCTCCATGTCCTTCCTGTGCTGAGAAGTGACCTGATATTTCATGATGGGACTGAGGAAAAGCCTTGGGGCTCCAATGTTGTATATTTAGGATCACCCCACACCTGGGAGAGGGCAGGAAGCCATTTGGCAGCTGCCAACCACTCCGGCACACAAGAGGAGGACTAACCCCCTTGTCCTCCTCTGTCCCCCCACCCCTCGGAGGCTGGAGGGGCTTACTTGAGTTCTTGCAGGCTGCCCACCAGCTGAGTCTTCTGCTCCGGGGACATGCGGGCGAACACAGTGGCTCGGATGAGGATCTGCAAAGAACGGGAAGGCTCCGTGGTAGCACCTGCATCCCTGCTCAGCTGGGGCAGAGGGGACCCCTGAACCCCAAAAAAACCACAGAATCACAGAATCTTCTAGGTTGGAAGGGACCTTAAAGATCAACTTGTCCAACCGTCAACTTAATTTTGACAAAAATAGACACCCACACAACAAACAAGGAGCATCACCATCACTAAACCATACCTCCCAGCACTACATCAACCCCTCTTTTGAACACCTCCAGGGATGGGGCCTCAACCACCTCCCTGGGCAGCCCATTCCAATGGCTGAGAACCCTTTCAGTGAAAAAATTCTTCCCAATATCCAGCCTGAACCTCCCCTGGCGTAACTTGAGGCCATTTCCTCTTGTCCTGTTGCCTGTTCCTTGGGAGAAGAGACCGACCCCCACCTCTCTACACCCTCCTTTCAGGGAGTTGGAGAGAGCAATAAGGTCTCCCCTCAGCCTCCTCTTCTCCAGGCTGAACACCCCCAGCTCCCTCAGCCTCTCCTCATAAGACTTGTGCTCCAGACCCCTCTCAGGGCATCTTCTTTTGGAGCTGCGAGGCTGCAGCATGAAATCTCGGTGAGGGCAACCCCACCAGAGGGATTCCCCACCAGAGGACTCACCTTGGGCAGGAGGTCGGCGAAGTGCTCGCAAACCACGGCGAAGGATTTGCCGTTCAGGGCGAAGTGGGGCTGGAGGAAGCAGCCGTCCCGCTGGCACGGAGCCTGCCAAGGAAAACAGATCCCTTTTTTTCCACCGTGGGGCTTTGGCTGGTCCTCAAACCCCCCCTGCCCCCCGTTGAGCCCCCCCTGAACAACCGTCTGAACCCCCATCCTCAGCCCATGGGGAGCAAGAGGTAAAGCAGCTTCCCCTAAACCTCGATTTCAGGCACATAAAGTGATGGTGTTTTAGATAAAATGTTTGGGTGACCAAGCCCTTCTGGCCAAGCCTGGAGCTGGACCCCAGGAGGGTTGTTTGGAGCATCAGCTCCAGCCTGACGTGCTCCCAGGGTGAAAAAATGAGCAGGTCATCTTCTGAAGATTTAATAAGGGGCAGAATCACGGAATCAGGGAACCATGGTGACCACTCCCGGTGACCTTTTTTCTTCTGCATGCTTAGAGATGACATCCAGGATGAGATGTTCCAATTTACACAGAAAGATAAAAGCGTGCCTCTGACCGCAGACAGCACTGTCTCTGGTAACACCGCGCTGTGTCTCCCTTCAATGTTGTGGTGAAACACAGTGCTCGGCAGAGTCCCTCCTGTAAAAGGGCCAATTGCAACCTCTCTGACCTTATTTTGGGGGCTTTGCTTGCTGGTGGCCAGGAAGGCACCAGACTGGAAGAGCTGTGACTATGCACGGTGATGCTCCACCGGCGCAGACCACAGCGGCACCCCATGAGCAACTTGGGGGGAGCTTTTCCATGTTGTTAGCCCCAGCTCCTGTTAACCACTGTGCTTTGTAAAAAAGCACAGTTGCAAGTACACAGAATCATAGAATCGTCTAGGTTGGAAGGGACCTTAAAGATCATCTAGTCCAACCATCAACCTAACTCTGACAAAAAATAAATAAGAAATAGGAAATAAAAATTACTAAACCATATTCCTGAGGACCATGTCTACCCATCTTTTGAACACCTCCAGGGATGGTGCCTCAACCACTTCCCTGGGCAGCCCATTCCAATGCTTGATAACCCTTTCGGTGAAGAAATGTTTCCTAATATCCAATCTGAACCTCCCCTGGTGCAACTTGAGGCCATTTCCCCTAACCTCTAAGATCCATCCTAAGATCCACCCCTAACCTCTATTGGTGCCTGGGGTTCTTCCTCCCCAGGTGCAGGACCCTACATTTGCCCTTGCTGAACTTCATGAGGTTCTTCTCTGCCCAGCTCTCCGGCCTGTCCAGGTCACACTGGATGGTGGCCCAGCCCTCAGGGGTGTCAGCCAGCCCTCCCAGTTTGGTATCTTCAGCAAACTTGCTGAGAATACACTCTGTCCCCTCGTCCAGGTCATTTATGAATATGTTGAACAGGACTGGGCCGAGTATTGACCCCTGAGGGACACCACTGGTCACAGGCCTCCAACTTGACCCCGCTCCATTAATTAGAACCCTCTGAGTCCTGTCACACAACCAGGACTCAACCCACCTCGCCGCCCCCTCATCTATCCCATGCTTCCTTAATTGCACCCATAATTGTCTTTAGGAGCAATGACGCTGGGAAAGGAGATCCCCACAAGGCATCTGGCAGAGTTTGGTCCCCGAAGTGTCACCTGAGGGGGACTCACCTCCGGCGGCTCCTCGCCCTGGGAGTGCTCGGCCAGGATGAATTTGAGGGCGGCGGGTTTGTCGTGGCTGGGGGGGGAGGCGTTGACGAAGATCACCCGCTCCTTCGGCTCCACCATGCGGCAGCTCCGGGCCACGTTGACGGCCGTCAGCATGTTGTCCCCTGGCAGAGAGAGGTGGTGGTGGTGGGGGTTGAGTAGCCACCAGCCACGTTTGCTAGCCAGCCAAGAAGAGCGGCTCAAACCTGTGGCGTCCCCTCTCCTTGGCCACCACAGCCACGCTCCCTTTGCTCCCCTCAGTTTTGGGGGAGAGCTTCAAAACCTCCTTTCTGCCCTTACCCCAGAGAAAGGCAGCGGCTTCCAACCCTTATCTTGTTGCAGAAGACCTGAAGGAGACTCCTACATCCCCCTCATCAGCTGTGAAACTTGGGGTGCTCATGAGATACCAACATTTCTGTGGTCCCAGCTCTGTGGGTTCATGCTGCCTCCATCCAAAAGCCCCCTGCACCCCCCTCCAGACCCCACCTGATGTGAGCCCACCCCCAAGAGAAGTGCCTACAAGCAGCGGGGGATGCACAAAACCAGGATCCACCAGTCCTCCCAGTGCCTCCCAGCTACCCATTTCTGGTGGAGAAACCCTCCACCTCTCGGCAAAACGTCAAGGGAGAGCTGTCCCCCCCTTCTTCCCCAGCCCAGTGTCCCCGTTCCCCTCCGCAGGGTCACCTGTCACCATGATGGGGCGGATGTTGGCGTTCCTCAGGAGGTGAATCACCGGCGCCGACTCCGGCTTGAGGACATTTTTCATGACGAGGAACCCCAGGAAGGTCAGGCTGCTCTCCAGGGAGTCCCTGGTGGGACACAAGGAGCCGTTCAACACCATCTCCGACACAAGGCAGAGGGGATCAGTTGGGATAAAGAGCTGAAGATCCACCAGCGGTGGCTTTGGTGTGGGTCAGGGTTTAATTCCTTGCAGGCTGCGGGGCAGCGAAGCATCCCGTGAAATGCTTGGGGCAAACAAGCCAGAAATGGAGAAAAAAAAAAGCTGTTGGCACCAACCTCGGGAGCTGGAGGGCCTCCTCGAAGGTGGACACGGTGCTCAGGGCTTTGCAAGCCAGACCCAAGACGCGGAAGCCATCCGTGGTGTAGTGTCGCAGCATCTGGGAGAAATCCAGGGGCACTGGCAGTTGTGAGGGAAAAAGCAAGGTCAGAACTTGATGAGGGGCCTGGAGCATCTCTCTTAACGAGGAAAGGCGGAGGGACTTGGGTCTGTTCAGTCTGGAGAAGAGAAGGCTGAGGGGGGATCTGATCAACACCTCTAAGTCCTTCCAGGGTGGGTGTCAGGAGGATGGGGCCAGGCTTTTTCCAGTGGTGCCCAGGGACAGGACAAGAGAAAACGGGCCCAAACTCGAGTATAAGAAGTTCCACCTCCCCATGAGGAGGAACATCTTCATTTTGAGGGTGGCAGAGCCCTGGCAGAGGCTGCCCGGAGAGGTGGTGGAGTCTCCTTCTCTGGAGACATTCCAACCCCCCCTGGACACGTTCCTGTGGGACCTGCTCTGGGTGGCCCTCCTCTGGGTTGGACTGGGTGATCTCCAGAGGTCCCTTCCAACCCCACAGCATTCTGTGATTCTGTGTAACCGTCCCCCAATGACCCCAGGCTCTGCAGACCCAGCAAGGGGAACCAGGGCTCCAGCTCCCAAAGGATCAAAGGGCTTTGGATGCTCTTCCAGCCTCCGACCCCCTTTCCCTGTCTTCTGGCTCCTGTTTTCTTCCCCCTTCCACAAGGTTGGAGCGACACCAAAGCCCCTGTGCCTCTGGGAACTGCCCCACAGCATCCCTGAGGATAATCTCCCTGTGGGGATGAGCTGTGGATGCAGAGATGATGGAGCAGCAGGACCGGCCGTTTTTCAGCCGTCCCCCAGTACGTACCAGTTTCCTTCCTGCAAAGACTGGCCACCATCTCCGGGGCACCCTTGACGTAGCCATGGGCTGAGACTTCTCCGGGCATCTTCACCAGGACACTCATCCTCTGCAAGGAGGAGGAGAAGGGGAAACGCCGGAGGATCCCCAGGGGCGACTGGTGCTTCTGGGGAGGAGAAGAAGAAGGTGTCAGGGCCGGGCAGGACCTTCTCTGGGAGGTAGAACCTCTCCAGGGGCTTGTGAAGAACAACCATCCTCTGGAGGTGCAGATCTGGTGACTTGGGGAGCCTGAACCACTCTGGTCCCTGGGACCTACCCTGTCTCGTGGCTGTTCTTCCTCAGGAGGGGGTTTCATCACAGCCAAGACCTTGGTCCCAAACTCCTGGAAGGCGGGCAGCTCTCCTTCCTCCTCCTCCATCATCTCCAGGCGCTGAAACCAAGGCAGATGCTGGGAGGGCAAAGCCCTGCCTTGCAAGCCCCAAGCCCCATCCACCCCACGGATGGCTTTTCACACCCCCTCTCCCAGCAAAGCAAGATGTGGAGCACCTTCCCTCTTCGTAGAAACCCAACTTTGCCCACAGCTTGTCTCACCCAGCCGGTGGATTCCACCATCTTGAGGTCCACGGGGTCCCCGATGGGCTGCGCCCGCAGCAGCGAGACGGTGTGGCAGGAGGCCAGTGAGTAGAGCAAAGGACCGGCCGGAAGGCAACGGGGCTCGTGGACGATGGGCATGAAGTGGTTGTCCTCCAGTGGGACCACCCCCCAGACATCCAGACCTTCCTCCGTCAGGGTTCCCGTCTGCGAGGAAGAGCGTGGTGGGTCCAGGATGGTCCCCCTGAGATGGAAACCGTTGTCCCACAGTTGGTGAGGAACCGAGGACTCACCTTGTCGAAGCAAACCAGGCGGATCTTCCCGCAGAGGTTGATCCTGGGGGGGCTGATGCAGAAGATGCCCTGTTTCTTCAGCCTGTTCTGGGCGTAGATGGTGCCCACTGTCATGGCAGCCGGCAGAGCCGGGGGCACGATGACGGTGACGAGGTCCAGGGCACGGATGATGATTTGCCCCACGGGGACCTGGCAGGTGAGGAGGAAGAGGGGTGGGCATCCTGATGGCCCTCGCTCATCTTCTGACGGTCCCAGTGCCAGCCCGAGCACGGGGAGTCACCACCTCCAACAACCCTACCTGGTTTTTGACCAAGATGAGGATGCTGTAGATGGTGCCGATAAAAGCTGCACAGGAGGGAGAACGGGCTCAGTTACAAAGATTTTAAGAGGATTTTGGCTGCTCCTGACCACCCCTCCACGCTCAGACGTACCCAGGACAGCGAGGAACAGGACGAACTTCACAGCGTCCTTGTAGAACTTGAAGCTGACGGGTTTGGGGTAGAGGATGGAGCTGATGAGATCCCCTTTGGCCGTGCAAAACCCTGCGGGAGAGAGGGGCAGAAGGTAAGCACCTGCAAAGTCACCACGCCCAGAAAGGAGGTGCTTTTAATCCTGGGTTTTCCACCTCAATCCATCACCTGTGCGGGTCACCACGGCCAGGACTTCTCTGCCCACGTAGGACTTGGCTTGGATGACCTGGGTCCCACAGAACAGCGTGTGTCTCCGGTGCTCCTCGGGGGAATAGAGGGTGCCAGCTGCCTGGTTGCCACCCGGGAGAGGGGTTTTCATCACCGGCACGCTCTCCCCTGCGGTGAGGAACACCACGGAGGGAGGTTTGTCACCCTTGGTGGGCATCAAGATCCCAACCAAGGTGGGAAGGAGCTGGAGTAAGGTCAGTGAGGGACCAAAGCTTGGCCTCTCCCCCAAAATCCAGCACGGGGTGGTGGTGGAGACGTGCAGCCCACTGGGTGTTGGGGCTCTCACCCGTCAGCATGCTCTCGTTGACCATGCACTCGCCCGTCAGCAGCGCCGCGTCGCAAGGGACCAGCATCCCGTCGGCGGGGAGGCTGATGCAGTCGCCCGGCACCAGGTCTGCTGAGCTCACCACCATCTCCTCTGGAAAACAGCATGGCCGTGCTCAGGGACGTCATCATCCCAACATTATCCACAGGAGCATCATCCCGGCATCATCCCCAGGGACATCATCCCAGCATCGTCCCCAGGAACGTCATCTTGAGGAACATCATCCCAGTATCATCCCCAGGGACATCATCCTGGTATTGTCCCCAGGAACATCATTCTGAGGAACACCATCCCAGTATCATCCCCAGGAATACCACTCTGGCATCGTCCCCAGGAATGTCATCCCAGCATCATCTCCTAGGAACGTCATCCCAAGGAACGTAGTCCCAGTAGCGTTCCCAGGAACATCATCCCAGCAGCGTCCCCAGGAACATCATCCCAGTATCATCCCCAGGAACATCATTCCAGCAGCATCCCCAGGAACATCATCCCGACATCATCCCCAGGAATGGCATCCCAGCATGAGCCCCAGGAATGTCATCCCGGCATCGTCCCCAGGAACGTCATCCTGAGGAACATCATCCCAGTATCATCCCCAGGAACATCATTCCAGCAGCATCCCCAGGAACATCATCCCGACATCATCCCCAGGAATGGCATCCCAGCATGAGCCCCAGGAATGTCATCCCGGCATCGTCCCCAGGAACGTCATCCTGAGGAACATCATCCCAGTATCATCCCCAGGAACATCATTCCAGCAGCATCCCCAGGAACATCATCCCGACATCATCCCCAGGAATGTCATCCCAGCATCATCTCCTAGGAACGTCATCCCAAGGAACGTAATCCCAGTATCGTTCCCAGGAACATCATCCCAGCAGCATCCCCAGGAACATCATCCCAGTATCATTCCCAGGAACATCATTCCAGCAGCATCCCCAGGAACATCATTCCAGCAGCATCCCCAGGAACATCATCCCGACATCATCCCCAGGAATGTCATCCCAGCATGAGCCCCAGGAATGTCATCCCGGCATCGTCCCCAGGAACGTCATCCTGAAAAACGTCATCTCAAGGAACGTCATCTCAGTATCATCCCCAGGGACATCATCCCGGCATTGTCCCCAGGAATATCATCCCAGTATTGTCCCTAGGAACATAATCCAGGCATGGTCCCCAGGGACATCATCCCAGCATCATCCCTCCAGGAATATCATCCTGGCATCATCCCCAGGAATGTCATCCCAGCATCGTCCCCTAGGAACGTCATCCCAGTATCATCCCGAGAAACGTCATCCCGGCATGAACCTCAGGAACATCATCCTGAGGAACGTCATCCCAGTATCATCCCCAGGGACATCATCCTGGCATTGTCCCCAAGAACATCATCCTGAGGAACATCATCCCAGTATTATCCCCAGGAATACCACCCTGGCATAGTCCCCAATATGTCATCCCAGCATCATCCCCTAGGAACATCATCCCAAGGAACGTAATCCCAGTATCGTTCCCAGGGACATCATCCCAGTATCATTCCCAGGAACGTCATCCCAGCATCGTCCCCAGGAATGTCATCCCAGTATTGTCCCCAGGAACGTCATCCTGAGGAACATCATCCCAGTATCATCCCCAGGAATACCACCCTGGCATCGTCCCCAGGAATGTCATCCCAGCATCATCTCCTAGGAACGTCATCCCAAGGAACGTAATCCCAGTATCGTTCCCAGGAACATCATCCCAGCAGCATCCCCAGGAACATCATCCCAGTATCATTCCCAGGAACATCATTCCAGCAGCATCCCCAGGAACATCATTCCAGCAGCATCCCCAGGAACATCATCCCGACATCATCCCCAGGAATGTCATCCCAGCATGAGCCCCAGGAATGTCATCCCGGCATCGTCCACAGGAACGTCATCCTGAAAAACGTCATCTCAAGGAACGTCATCTCAGTATCATCCCCAGGGACATCATCCCGGCATTGTCCCCAGGAATATCATCCCAGTATTGTCCCTAGGAACATAATCCAGGCATGGTCCCCAGGGACATCATCCCAGCATCATCCCCAGGAATGTCATCCCAGTATCATCCCGAGAAACGTCATCCCGGCATGAACCTCAGGAACATCATCCTGAGGAACGTCATCCCAGTATCATCCCCAGGGACATCATCCTGGCATTGTCCCCAAGAACATCATCCTGAGGAACATCATCCCAGTATTATCCCCAGGAATACCACCCTGGCATAGTCCCCAATATGTCATCCCAGCATCATCCCCTAGGAACATCATCCCAAGGAACGTAATCCCAGTATCGTTCCCAGGGACATCATCCCAGTATCATTCCCAGGAACGTCATCCCAGCATCGTCCCCAGGAATGTCATCCCAGTATTGTCCCCAGGAACGTCATCCTGAGGAACATCATCCCAGTATCATCCCCAGGAATACCACCCTGGCATCGTCCCCAGGAATGTCATCCCAGTATCATCTCCAGGAATGTCATCCCAGTATTGTCCCCAGGAACATCATCCAGGCATCGTCCCCAGGAACATCATCCCGGCATCATCCCCAGGAACATCATCCAGGCATCGTCCCCAGGAATGTCATCCCAGTATCATCTCCAGGAATGTCATCCCAGTATTGTCCCCAGGAAGGTCATCCAGTGATCGTCCCCAGGAACGTCAACCCAGCATCATCCCCAGGAACATCATCCCGGCATCATTCCCAGGAATGTCATCCTGGTATCATCCCGAGGAACGTCATCCCGGCATGAACCTCAGGAACATCATCCTGAGGAACGTCATCCCAGTATCATCCCCAGGGACATCATCCTGGCATTGTCCCCAAGAACATCATCCTGAGGAACATCATCCCAGTATTATCCCCAGGAATACCACCCTGGCATAGTCCCCAATATGTCATCCCAGCATCATCCCCTAGGAACATCATCCCAAGGAACGTAATCCCAGTATCGTTCCCAGGGACATCATCCCAGTATCATTCCCAGGAACGTCATCCCAGCATCGTCCCCAGGAATGTCATCCCAGTATTGTCCCCAGGAACGTCATCCTGAGGAACATCATCCCAGTATCATCCCCAGGAATACCACCCTGGCATCGTCCCCAGGAATGTCATCCCAGCATCGTCCCCTAGGAACGTCATCCCAAGGAACATAATTCCAGTATTGTCCCAGGAACATCATCCTGGCATCGTCCCCAGGAATGTCATCCCAGTATTGTCCCCAGGAAGGTCATCCAGTGATCGTCCCCAGGAACGTCAACCCAGCATCATCCCCAGGAACATCATCCCGGCATCATTCCCAGGAACATCAACCCAGTATTGTTCCCAGGAATGTCATCCCGACATGAACCTCAGGAACATTATCCTGAGGAACATCATCCCAGTATCGTTCCCAGGAATGTCATCTCAGCATGAGCCCCAGGGACATCATCCTGGCATTGTCCCCAGGAACATAATCCCAGCATCATCCCCAGGAACATCATCCTGGCAACGTCCCCAGGAATGTCATCCCAGTATTGTCCCCAGGAACGTCATCCCGGTATCATCCTGAGGAACGCCATCCCAGTATCACCCCCAGGGACATCATCCCGGCATTGTCCCCAGTGGCTTTGTGCCTGGAGCCCTCGCTCATCGCGGGCATCGCTCTCACCTCCGCTGGGGCGATGGACTCGGACACCGACCGACATCTTGGCCATGTTCTGCAGCGTGGCGGTTTGCTGGGAGGGAGGGAGCAGTTAGAGCACACCAAAAAGTAGTTCCAAAAGTCCAGAAAAGCAACCATAAAACAGGTCTGGAAGGCTGAGGACCATGGATGAAGGACAAGTAAACCTGCCCCACCGTTGGTGTATGGGTTGTCCTCACCCAACTGGGCTCAGAGGGAGTTGAGCATCACCACAGGGGTCAAACGGCAGCAGAAAAGGGGAATATTCTGCTAGAGCTGCTTGTCCCAAACAAGCCCACCACCAACCTTCCTCGTCTCGTAGAGGGACAGCCCTAAGGAGATGGTGGAGATGAGGAAGATGCAGGCGGCATAGTAGTAATAGGCGTCGCAGACCCACAGCACGATGCTGAACACTTGGAAGATGTAGAAGGGATTGAGCACCTGGAAGAGAACAAGGAGAGAGGGTTTTTTTTTTTGGGGGGGGGGGAAGAGCTTCCTCCAGCCCACCGTGAAATCTCCAAGCTCCTTGAGGAACAACTGCTTATGCAGAGGAGAAGATGGCCCTTCCTCCAGCCCACCGTGAAACCTCCAGGCTCCTTGAGGAACAACTGCTTATGCAGAGGAGAAGATGGCCCTTCCCTGGGGCTGGGGATGAAGTAGCAGACTCCTCGCAAACCCCCCCCATCCTCCCTGGCTCTGCTTATGGTGGGTTCTCCTGAGGTTGCTCAGCCACCTCCACAACTCCCTGGGGATGCTCCTGTCTGAGCCAAGAGGCAGGACAGGGTCCCCTCTGCATCAGCTCTACCTTCTCTCATCTCTGCCCCACAGCTGCTTCTCCTAAAAGTCCTTTCTCCTCCCCAGGGAGGGACACGGAGCAGGAGAAGGACCTGCCCAGGGGTCAGGTCTTCAAAGCACAAAGGGTTCAAGGGTTCCAAGCATGGCCCACCTCCTCCACCAACAGCCGCGCGTAGGACTTGACGGGCACCTCGATGAGGTTGGGTCCGTAGATCTTCCTTCTGGAGAAGGGGAGAGAAAAAGGAAAGGGGGGAAGCAAACACACACTAGGGAAAAATCTGCATTTCCAACCCGAGGGACCCTCATGCTGCCAAGATCTCCACAGGAGGTCGGCTACATGGAGAAGCCAAGCCAGGGCAATCCAGCACAGACAGGAATCTTCTATTTTGAGGTCTGGGTGTTAAGAAAAACCCAGACTCCAGGATTTTCTGGCCCCTGGAAAAGCCTGATCTATGCTCCCCGGGCATCCCATGAATCTGGAAGGTCCCTACCTGGTGTTGTGGTCTTGCTGGTGGAGCCCAGCCTGGGCGAGGTGGAGATCTGCGCAGGTCCAGCCTTCATCCAAGACGCTGGCGAGCCCGAGGGGCGGGGGGGGAAAGAAAAAGAGAGGAACGGAGTCCAAATCAGCAGGAGCCTGGCCCGGCAGAAGAAATAACCACGGCCAAGTCCTTGGTGACACACACACAAAAAAAACCCACCACCCCCCCTCTTTGGGAGAGCATCTTGTTCCTCGGCATCCGCCGCAGCTCGCGGGCGCCAAGGAGCAGGGACAAAAGGGACACGGGGCGGTGGGGACCCGTCCAGCAGAGGGGCAGATGCCAAACCAGTTTCCTCTGCCCACAAAGACGAGCAACATCAACAACTTTGGAGGACGGGGGGGAAGGAGAACAACTTTCCCCGACCTGACGCCCCGGGGATGGTCTCCAAAGGCTTTGTAGGGCGGGGAAAAAGCTCCAGCCGTGGTTATGTGACATCCAGATGGGTCGGGATCACTTTGGGGGGGGTTGAGGGGTGTAAGGAGAGCAGTGGAGGGCTGCAGAGAGGTTCTCCGTGGTGGTGGTGGGGCTGGGGGGTCAGGAATACCTGACTTTGCAGTAGGCCTGCCGCCGCTCGATCCAGACGTAGCGCATGCCCTCGAAGAGGTAGTACCTCAAGATGTTCTTCTGAGGGGAGCAGGGTGGAAAAAAAGAAAGAAGGAGGTGTCAGTGGGAGAGGAAGGCAGGTGACACCCAGGGAGAGGATTTTGCGGGGATGGAGGTGGGAAGGGTCGTTGGTGTCACCTCTTCCTTCTCGTGGAGGCGGATGGTGTCCCGGTTCTCCTCCTCATCCGCCACGCCGATGGCGATGCTGGTCCTCCGGTCCTCCAGCCGGGCCCCGGGGTGGTGCTCCAGGCTGCTCGGGGTGGGAAACCAAGGGTTGGTCCCTCCCCATCCACAAACTCCCCCTCTCCCTCGAAACCAAAAGCCCATGGGAGCCCCAGCATCGCGGTGGGGACAGAAACCCCCGGCGTCGTGGTGGGAATGGAAGCCCCAGCATCACCTCAAGGATGGGACCTGGGCATCACAGTGGTGGGACAGGAGCCCTGGCATCATGGTGGGAGGAGAGGAGCCCTGGCATCACTGCAGGGATGTGAGCCCCAGCATCACGGTGGGGTGATGGGAGCCCTGGCTTCGTGGTGGGGGGACGGGAGCCCCAGTGAGGGCATGGGAGCATCATGGTGGGGACATGAGCCCTGGCATCCCCATGGGGACATGAGCTCTGGCATCACAGCAGGGACAGGAGCCCTGGCATTGTGGTGGGGGGACGGGAGGTCCTGCATCACCATGGGGATGTGAGCCCCGGCATCACGGTGGGGGGACAGGAACCCTGGCTTTGTGGTGGGGGTATAAACCCTGGCATCATGGCAGGAGGACAGGAGCTCCAGCATCACAGTGAGGGGACAAGAGCCCCAGCATCGTGGTGGGGGGACAGGAACCCTGGATTTGTGGTAGGGACAAGAACCCTGGCATCTCAGTGGTGAGACAGGACCCTGGCATCATGGTGGGAGGACGGCAGCCCTGGCATCACCGCAGGGATGTGAGCCCCAGCATCATGGCAGGGTGATGGGAGCCCTGGCTTCGTGGTGGAGGGACAGGAACCCTGGTTTTGTGGTGGGGACATGAACCCTGGGATCGGGGTGGTGGGACAGGTGGGCCCTGGCATCACCATGGTGGGGTCAGGAGCCCAACTCACCTCCCCTCGCCCAGCGCCTCCGTCCGCACGCGGGTGGTGAAGCACTGGCCAAATCGGTCCTGCAAGACAAGGACGGGGCTGAGCAGAGGGAAATGGGGAGTGTGTGTCCCCCCCCTCAGCCTCTCTCCTTCAAATGGGGACAGTGACACAGGCAGGGGGTCCCCGGCCACTCATCCCAGATGATGGCTGGTTTCTAGGGACAATAAAGACTGACACAAAGCCAGGCTGGCTGCTACGGAAGGGAAAGGGCAAAATTACTCCAGGAATAATAATTATTTTTAAACTGAAAAGAGGGAAGATCGAGATGGGATCTGGGGAAGAACTTGTTTGGTGTGAGGGTGGTGAGAGCCTGGCCCACGTTGCACCGAGAAGCTGTGGCTGTCCAATGCCTGGAGGGGTTCAAGGGCAGGTTGGAGGGGGCTTGGAGCAACCTGGGCTGGTGGGAGGTGTCCCTGCCCAGGGCAGGGGGTGGCACTGGGGGGGC